GGGAGAATTAACTTCTGCTGCACAATATTGTCCTGTACTGGATATGGGGTTGAGGAAAATGTTCATATTTTGATAATATTTCTTCAAATATAATACTCACTGGCCGCTTTATTAGGTACACCTCACTAGTACCGGGTTGGACCCCCTTTTGCCTTCAGAGCTGCCTTAATCCTTCGTGGCATAGATTCTACAAGATACTGGAAATATTCCTCAGAGCTTTTGCTTCATATTGACATGATAGCATCACGCAGCAGCACTAGATTTGTCGGCTGCACATCTATGATGCCAATCTCACCACAACCCAAAAGTGCTCTATTGGGTTGAGATCAGGTAACCGAGGAGGCCATTTGAGTACAGTGAACTCATTGTCATGTTCAAGAAACCAGTCTGAGATGATTCACGCTTTATGACATGGTGCGTTATCCTGCTGGAAGTAGCCATCAGAAGATAGGTACACTGCATGTGGTCATAAAGGGATGGACATGGTCAGCAACAATACTCGGATAGGCTGTTGCGTTGACATGATGATCAGTTGGTACTAATAGGCCCAAAGTATGCCAAGAAAATATCCCCCACACCAGTACACCACCTCCAGCCGGAACCGTTGATACAGGGCAGGATAGATCCATGCTTTCATGCTGTTGATGCCAAATTCTGACCCTACCATCTAAATGTCGCAGCAGAAATCGAGACTCATCAGACCAGGCAGCGTTTCTCCAATCGTCTATTATGCAATTTTGGTGAGTGTGAATTGTAGCCTTAGTTTCCTGTTCTTAGCTGACAGGAGCGGCACCCAGTGTGGTCTTCTGCTGCTGTAGCCCATCCGTCTCAAGGTTAGACGTGTTGTTTGTTCAGAGATGCTCTTCTGCACATCTCAGTTGTAACGAGTGGTTGTTTGAGTTTCTGTTGCCTTTCAATCAGCTGGAACCAGTCTGGCCATTCTCCTCTGCGCTCTGGCATCAGCAAGGCATTTGCGCTGACAGAACTGCCGCTCATTAGATATTTTCTCTATTTCGGACCATTCTCTGTAAACCCTAGAGATGATTGTGCATGAAAATCCCAGTAGATTAACAGTTTCTGTATTACTCAACAACCATGCCACATTCAAAGTCTCTTAAATCACCTTTCTTGCCCATTCTGATGCTCGGTTTGAACTACAGCAGATCGTCTTGAGCATGTCTACATGCCTAAATGCATTGAGTTGCTGCCATGTGATTGGCTGATTAGAACTTTTCATGAGGGAGCAGTTATAGTAAAGTGACCGGTGAGTGTATATCCCTATTGGAAAAATTCATGGAAAAAAGATAGATTTTTCCAGAATGTTCCAATGTCATTGTCTAAAATGTCATTTTTAATACAAATTTAGTCCACTTTACTTTTTATTTTATATTTCATGATTTTATTCATGTGCCTTGAAAATTGTAGCATAAAAAATTGTCCAACAGGTCCATTTTCTTTCATCCAATGCTATTTTATACAATAATTGTGCCATATCTTTAACAGAAAATGTTGTTTTTCAGTTCAGCAATCACATATTTATTATTTTTTATTATTTGATTTAATTTTTATTACTTATATTTCTAAATGTATGTAATATTTTTTTTAATTAGATGTTTTTTTATTCTATCCAAAGTTACTTGACGTTTATTAATTAACATTTTGCTTTTTTTTTCATTTAGTTAAATTTTTAACTTGTAATTTTTTTGCAATTTTCAAATGGCTTTCATTAATTTAGTTTTCAATTCAGTTGTGTTTTGCCTTCAGCAGACTTATTTCACAATATTTAACATGATTTAAAGCAGTGCTGTTGAAAAGCTGGTGGCTTTATGTGTGCTTGCAGCTGTTAGGGAGACTCTAACCTGAACATACCAGCCAAAAATGCATTTCATGAACTCCTACTGTAAACCCTTTAATAATAACCCAACAAACCCATTAGATTCATGTAAGACCTCAAATTCAGATGTTACATGAATCCAAAAGAAGCCTTCATACGAATTTATTTGGTTATATAAATGTTGCTTTCCATAAACCCATCTTAAATCATTCACGTGTGACTGCTTCCCTCTAGGGGTGAAAGAGTGTAGTTAACGATATATAACAAAATATATTTATTTTTTATTGATCAGATAAATAATTTAAATATAGCTTAAATCGGATTAATAGTGCATTATAGTTATTTTCTTTATTCTTTATTTTTGGTATTCTTGCCTTAAATATTTAATTAATATTAAGCCTTAATTAATATTAAGAGACATGTATAAAGTAGGCCCAAGACTGTCTGGCCTTTGGGAATGCGCCACAACCTTTAGAATAAACTAATTACATTTAAGTCAATTTCTGTGAATATTTTACTAAATCGTTTGTCTACTGTACCCATGTGAATGAACATATATAGGTAAAATTTCATCTCAAGTCAGTGGCTCTGGAAATGTGGTAGTATCTTTTTCTGTGAGGATATAACATAGTTGTAAAGACATTATGGTTCTAGGTTTATTGCACATATATTCTTATTGATTGACACTAATAATATGCAGGCAAAACATGAAGCATTCTTTACGCAAATCAGCAGATATTTTTGTATGCTGTGCTCTTTGGAAACTAAAGTTGTCCAACAAAATCTCACTAGCCAATGAGAATAGAACGCTGTTAAAGCCTGCCCCCATGAGGAAAAAGCAAGCTATCAAATGGATTCAATGCAGGTTATTTTGAAAATCATGTAACTTTTTTTTTTTTTTTTAAATAGTTTTTTTCATTTAATAATGAATATTTTGGCTCGTTTTCACAAAAGTTTTGTCAGTTTTGCTTTAGTTTTTCTAGTTGTTTAATTTTGTTTTAGTTTTGTTAATTGCACTCTAAAAACGTTGAGTTACTAATTTAACCCAATGATAGAGTAAAAAATATTTTAACATTATATTTTTTAAAGTTTATTGGGTTATTCATTCAATAACCAGTTGCGTTGGGTTAAAACATATATTGAACAGTTTGATTTAACTGACTCAGAACAGCAGTAATTTGGTTTCGTAATATTGTTTTTGCGTTGTGAAGTTCTTTTTTGCTCTAACGCAATTATATTAGTGATATTTTTCCATCTCTACAGTTTTTAGGAAGAAATTCTAAACATATTTGAGATTTTCGCCGTCATTCTCGCCTTTATAACCCAGAGGAGACATCAGCCCGGTGTTGCGTCCAGTCTTGGTAAAACTGTCCTTTCGCTAGGAAACTTGTAACAACTAAATACTAATAGACACAAATATGCTACATAGCATGGAGTCAATCTAGGGTCATATATACTTGCAACATAAAAAAAAGTTTTGCAAACAAAAAAGTAAAGTATTGAGCAAAAAATTATAAAGTAATGCAATTTTTTTTAAACGCAATGGGAAAATTGCAATATATATATATATATATTGGATTTTTTTTTAAATAAACATTTGCTAAATATTTTTTCTTCCAGTATTGCTTTTACAAAACCTCTTAAGTCAATTGCAACGCTCATTTTGATTTGCTTCTCAGTCAACCTAAAGTTTGCGATGCTGTTTTCTTTTTGCCCTTTACATTTCTGTGCATTTCACTTTCTGGTCCTGATTTGACAAGGCGGCGGAGTCACAGGACTGGGTCGTGTACGGCATGCCACACAAGGAAAATCAGCCATGAATCGCTGTCTAAAATCTAATTGAGGTTAAGTAAATTACCTGAATTCTTTGTTTTTTGGGGGATGTTTAAAACGTCAAACGGTAAAACTTCTCAAAAATTGAGCATTGCAACTGACTTGAGAGGTTTTGTAAAGACAACACTGAAATTCTTTTTTTTTTTATTATTGAAAATATATATTTTTTTACATTTTCACTACTTGATTTTTAATTGCAGTTCTTTATTTTTGTTTGCAAAATTTCTTTTTTTTTCAAAGATTAATTTTCCCTTTGGAATTTTTGAGATTTGCATTAGTTTACCATTTTTTACTCAATACTTTATTTTTTGTTTGCAAACTTTCAATTATGTTGCAAGTATATTTGTTCCTAGATTGACCATAAATTGCTGGTTTTACCAGTAAGTGGAGCAATAGATTACTATTCACCGCTAAAGGGCGCTGACTCGATGCGCACGTCGATTTTACGTACTCTGCTGTGGTCTTTTTCATTTTTGATGGAGAAGTGAGGCTATCCATCGTCAATTGGTGAACATTTCAAAAAATGTTCTTGTTGTCAGTTCTATATGGTTAGTTCTTTGTTGATAGTTCTTTGTTTATTGCTGCTGTTTTTATTTTCTCCACATTTTCTTTCCAGTTATAGCCACTGGGACACCGTGTTTAACTTACTGTCAGTGGGATTACACATCTGATTACAAGTCAAAAAGGCAGAACCTCGGGAGATATGCGCTCAAATTCAACATAAAGCTTAAGTGGTTATTTTAAATTTCAATATATTATTATTATTATTATTGTTTTTGTTGTTGTTGTTGTATATTGCTATCTTGGTCATTCCTTTCCAACATTGCAACACATGTAGGCTATTTTAGTCTGCTTCTGTTATAGCCTTGTTTCACTTTACGGGTGCAGACCTCTTTCTTGGTAGGAGTAGAGTTATCAAAACCAAACAGAAAGTCAAAATCCTAAAAATAAATAAATAAATAAAAATAAATAGGCTACATTCCTCTCCAATTGGCGGGTACAGTGAAATTGGTAAAACGCGCTGCCATATCTGTGCCAGCTTCAACTGGCATGGCATGTCTGTTGACAGAAAACTGGTTGCCCTAATGAGAGATAGGCTACTATTCAGCTTATTCAGACAAGTCATTGTAATGTGAGTGAATATGATGAGAAATCTCAACAGACAAACTACGAAGCAAAACGCCTATTAAACAAATATTTCATAGTAGGCCTAGTTCAAACGAATAATCTAATGAATGGCGAATGAAATAGTTATTTTAAGGTGTGTCCACTGACGTGAAGCAGCAGCTCAGGTGGAGATGATTCTCTATTTATCTCTGGCTGACTGACGGTGATGGAGGGCGGCAGGTGTGCGCAGGTGAGCTCGGTTCCCGCTTCCCCGTCCTCCGGTCACCGGCACCGGGCGGCTCTGATTCTGGCTCGCGGCGGCAGTAAAGGGATCCCGCTAAAAAACATCAAGAATCTGGCCGGAGTTCCGCTCATCGGATGGGTCCTGAGAGCCGCGCTGGATTCAGATGTTGACAGGCAAATATATTTGATTTATTTTAATTTTGGTTTTAATATACAGTAGTCAATATTTATAGAGGATCCAGAACTAAACGACCCGACACAGGAACACAGTTTCTTCCCTCAGGCAAACCATCTCATTAACACTTCATAGGCTAATGATTGCGGAACAAACACTATTCATACACACATACACTTATTTATTTAACAAAACACACAGTTAGCATTTCAATTTGCACATAATTCAGTAATACATTATACAGATTTTGTAGGCTTTACTGTTTCTATTTGTTAAACTTAAATATTGTATTTCTTTATTATGTGTTTTTCTTGTCATAGTCTTTCTGTTGAACTGTAAACTTCTGCCAAAAACAAATTCCTCATGTGTAAATATACCTAGCCATAGGCTTTTTCTGATTCTGAAAATCTTTCTTCAAAGTTGAACCTAAAACTATTCAACAGCATCGTTTGTTTTTTTAGTTCTGAAGTACTTTGAATGTGTATGGATCAAGCGTTAATTATGAGTTTTTGTTGACAGACTTGTTAGTCTTATTTTTTGTAACTTGCTAACAGGAAAAACTGATCTGTCTGGGTAGCATAGATGATGAGGTTTTGCAAAAATGTGCAGAATGTAGCCTATTATTTTTTGAGGTGACAAGTGAGGTAATTAATCACGAATGCACTCTTACATCAGCAGAAGTTTCTTTTCAGAGTTATTACCGTTTGGCCTTTACGTGTTTCTTGTTGTTTTAATAACTCGTGTTGTGTTCTGCAGTGTATGGGTGTCCACAGATCATGATGAAATTGAGCGGGTCGCCAAGCTTTGGGGTGCTAAAGTTCACCGGCGCAGTCCTGAAGTTTCCAAAGACTCTTCCAGCTCTCTGGAGACCATCCAGGAGTTCATCCGACTGCGACCCGGTGAGACAAAACTACAATGATCTCCTTTTAACCTTTTCATAATAATTAGTGTTAATAACACTCATCCTGACTGACTGGCCAACATGGTTAAGGTTTTGAAGAACTTTATTGGCCCCAAAAAAAAAAAAAAAAAAAAAAAAAAAAAAAAAA